AGAGCATAAGGAGAGAGTCTGCGGTTCATGGCTTGTGGTCCACAGGTCTCTAGGACCTTAACCTCGGTGTTGAGAAATTCTTCTGCCGTCGTGATGCCACAGATTCGTAAAGGCCATATGCCGAGTAGAGGGCCTTCTGCAATTTGCATGGAGCTCTTTATCCAGCTAGCCTGTGGCCTGCGCGCAGCCCCTTCAAGCAATCCTTGAAAAAACCGAACATGCGAGTAAAGTGTAAAGATCCAGCTATCGACATTCAGTAGGTTCCGTTTCCAGTTTACCCGAATGTATGGTACGAACGTAAATGCCAGTACCAGCAATCGTCATGCACAAAACAGATCTACTTGTGCATTGCAAGATGTGTTGGTGTATGCATGTGTTCTTTTATCTGTTTATTCATTTATTCATTTATTTATTTATACACACCCATATATATATATATAGATATACACACATACATATCTATATACTGCCTGTGCGTGCAAGTACACATACTCATGACACATACACATCCACATGCACATACAATATACATATACACACTCATGCACATTGTATGCGCACCGTTGACATTACCTCTAAATGTAGGCTGACAGGCTGTACAGTCGGACCTCATCTCGCGCTAAGGGTTCGGATTGGGTGTAATGCTGTAGGGGGTTTTCTTGACAGGAAGGTTCCTGCACCTAATCCATTCTGCCCAGCTGCGAGAACTCGGCCAAGTGCTTGGGGTTGTTGTTGTAGCATGCCTTGCCCGGTGCACCGGCTCAAGATTTCGAGAACCAGCAACGGGAACAGATGTGCGGGATCGATAAATCGGATTTAGGTGTGGAAGAAGGCTTGCTGGTTGTCAAGAAAAATGGCCACACAGTCCGAGGCCAGTGTGCAAGCGGGGTTTTTGGCCTGATGGAGATCAAGGTCTCGAAACAAAGCCCTCATGCTGGCAAGCGCCCATTGAACACAGGTGCATGAAAGGAGAGTCTGGTTTTCGACCGGCCCTGGAATGAAAGTACGGCCGTGTCTTGATACGTGTTACAATAGGATATGTCCTTCCTCTAATTTCCCTTGCGTCCGTAAGAAGCCAAAACCTAGCCGTCTAGGACTGCAGGTGCAAGATGGTGCGAGTGTGCCGATTTGGACACTCATTTACTCTGGAGAGAGGTCTAGGTCTTGACTCCAGTCAAAAGGGGTGAGGGATCAAAAAAAAAATGATAAGGATCAAACAAAAATTTAGAACACGAGGATCAAAAAAAAATATATAAGGATCAAAAACAAATTTGCCCTTTGCTATATTTGCAA